ATATGTATGTATATGTGTGTATATACGTATATATATGTGTGTGTATACGTATGTATATATGTTTGTGTATACGTATGTATATATGTGTGCGTATACGTATGTGTGTGTGTGCGTATACGTATGTGTGTGTGTGTATACGTATGTGTGTGTGTGTGTATACGTATGTGTGTGTACGTATATATGTACCTGTGTGTGTCTGCGTATATGTACCTGTGTTTGTCTGCATATATGTATCTGTGTGCGTCTATGTACCTGTGTGTGTGTGCGTATATGTACCTGTGTGTGTTTGTGTATATACGCGTGTGTGTTTGTGTGTGTATATATACGTATATATTAAAGTTTCAGCTTTTTCTGCTATTTCAGCTACTATTTAGCTCTTTTCTGCTGTAGAAGGATATGGGGCTGGATATATTGTAATTTATCAGTTATGAGTTAAGCTCATAAGATATACATTTATTATGCAAATAACCTCGTTGTGTGGGCACCAACTCTCTTTGAGAGGAAAAATCAGTCTCTATTTAACCCCAAATTAACGTAAACTGAAACCATATCAGTTAATATCCTGATGCATGCTCAATAATCCAGGTAGAAAAATCCAAAAAAGTTCAATCTGGTCCTCTGGACATTCAAAAAAACAAAAAACAAAACAAAGCAAAAAAATCAAGAAACGTTTCGTCTCTCATCCGAGAGACTTCAGTCTGAGGTGCTGTTTTCAGCTCAGTCTCTTAAATAGCACCTTCTCAGAGTGGATCAACCAGTTTGCTGCTGACAACCAAAACCAGCTGATCACATGCTCAAGAAGGACCATCAGCCTAACAATGGATCATTAGCACACTGATGGCTGTTTACTACTCACAGAGGGCTGAGTGATACTAGCAATCACAGCATTGTAAGAGGGGGACAGTTGAACCCGGAGGCCTCCACCCCTGTTTAATGATGGACGATTTCTTTTCACAAAGATGGCCTCCTTTACTCCTCTCTCAAACCATCGTTCCTCTCTGTCCAGGATGTGAACATCTTCATCCTTGAAAGAGTGACTGCTGGCCTGGAGATGAGTGTAGACCGCAGAATCCTGGCCTGATGATGTTGATCTTCTGTGCTGGGCCATCCTTTTGGCCAGTGGCTGTTTAGTTTCCCCGAACATATCAGTTAATACACACAGATATGCCAAAATAATCACAAATGTAGTTGATTTTATGTTTTTTTTACAAAAATAATAATCTGTGATATATGTGATGAAAATTATGCATGACAAAGTTCACTGAATAACAAATAGCTTTGTATCAAAGGTCTAATTGATTATTCAAATCAGTGAAACTTAAAAGGCAGATTTTGGATTGGTTACTGTTTTGTGAAGTGGTTAAAAATTGTGTCTAAGGTGAGCGGTAGTGTGTTTGATGTAGGTTCACCAGAAAGGCATTGAAGAGTCTTTGTCCTACCAGAATGAGATGCCAGAATGGTCCGACAGCTGCTTAAAATGGTACCAGCCCAGATGTTCTGGAGACTGAGAGGCTGATTTTTCCTTAAAGTTCACCTGTCATCTTAGAGGGACGATGGTCCGTATGGGAGTCGGCTGGGATTTACCACTCCTGTGGTGTGATGGTTCTGGTTCGGTTAGGTTCTGTGTCTTTCTCTCGTCCTGAGATGTCTGCAGAAAGGATGCTTCTCTCCTCTCTGAGTCCAGTGCAGAAACTGGGTTTCTTCTCTCCAGTTCTCTTGTGCAGAAGCGTGTTTCTCTCTGGAGTTTTCTCTCCAAAACTCCTGTGAAGTCTTTTGTGACAGAGCCTCAGTGAAGTGTGTAGCAGAAGTTGTAGAAGTAGATGTGCTTGTGGAGAAGTGCCAGAAGTGAAACTTAACTGTCTGTGTTTTTAGAGATGAAGGTCCACCTCTCGGAAGAGGGATGGTCCTAACTCTTGGCTTTGTTAAATAAAATCTAAAGTCCATTTTTCTCTCTGCCTTAAAAGTTTTTCCTTTTAAAAGAGAAAATAATACAAATGAAGAAAGATGACTTAAAACACACATTTTCATGAATAAACATTCGGATATTATTAAAACAGAAATTACATCTTTGATTTAATAACATGCAATGTTTATCAAAATGTGTCGCTGTCCACCTCCTGAAAAGGGAATGTCATTAAACAAAGGGGTTCTTATGGTGTCATCTTCATGGGAACTCATTCTGGGAGTAATACTCCTTTTTTGATAAAGGTGAAATCTCAGCGTAGCGAGTTTGGATGTTTGAACCAAAACCCTCATTAAAACGATCTGTCTGTTTCATGGGAAATTAGTTCATATTGGCGGAGAAGTTAACACAGTGACAGTTTTTTTTTAATTTTATATTAGTGTCAACTAAGAAGTTTGTGAACTGAGTAGAACATTTGTAAAACAAGGTCTGTTTGTTCCCAAGGGAATAGATGCATCTTATTTTAAACAGTTTCAACACAAAAACACATGAATGATGTTTGTTTGAGCTGAGGTGAACTCTTTTTCTGAGATGGTGTTCTCATACAATGCTAATTTTAGCTTTTTCAGATATTTTCCCCTTTTTGTGCTCATTTCTGCTTCTTTCAGCCTAATTGGGCAAACGTTATTTCTGCTTTCTTCTGTTAATTTAGGCTTATTTTTAATTTCAGCTACATTTCAGCATGTTTTAGCTAATTTCAGCTGTTTCTCAGCAAGCTATTCTGCAATAAGCATTCACACTGCATTTATGCAGGTAATGCAGTTTCTCAAGTTCTAATTATGTATCATTACAAATAGACTTTTCAGGACTTTTTGAGACTTTTCAGAATATCTCGAGACAATCCGGGACTTTTAATGTCATTTCAAGACTATAGCACTCTTTCCGATGTGTGTATGAAGTTGAAAATAATTTCACAGAAACTGTTTTCTCTCTCAAGGTGAAAAATGTGTCCGGTGACCCAGAGGTGATGTTGAACGACTACAATGATAAAGTTGGAGGTTCTAGAGACTTTCTGGACCAGCCGGACTACAACAAGCCTCTGTATCTGCCAGGGTAAGCTGGTCACCAACACAGGATGTTAACGATGCCTCTCGTGGCCTCTGATCAGAGAAACTAGGAGCACATCACCAGAATCATTTTGACAGATTTCTGTGGAAAGCAGAGGACTCAGGACTGAGATCATTGGTTTTCCTCTAATAATAATAATAATAATAATAATACAAAAATAGAAGGTTCCTGGAGAAACTGACGGGGACTTCCACATCGCGTCCAAATTAAAATTTTAATTTGACAGGACTGTATTGGGCTTCGCTGTCAGATACCACCATACCAAATTTTAGCTTAATATTCCTAAAAATGGCTGATTTATAGTTCGTTTCAATTAGAAAATGGTGTTTTTGTTTGCAAATTACGTTGCCATTTTAACTTGAAACAGCAATAAAAGTAATAGCATACATCACCGTGCCAAGCCGGTCGTTTTGATATAACATTTGTGGAGGTACACATTGTGATTCGAGCCACATTAAAGTTGAAGGAAGAGCAAGACCCTTTTTTGCTGGATAATAATAGGGGGCTGCCTTTTTAGGCGTTTCTATTCAGAAAATAGAATAGTCTTTATTGTCACTGCACAGCCTGAACAATGAAATGGAAGGTGCCTCAACTGACAGTGTATTGAAAAGATTTTTTTTAAGAAAAAAAAAGATTTAAAAAAAGAAAGGAACAACATACTTGTATACACAACAATTCAGACATGCATACACAAGAAACATCAATAGTGAAAATACAGACATACTGGTCAGAAAGATACAGGTAAGGTAGTGGAAGCAGACTGGATATTCCATAAGTGACCAACTTATTGCACTGGAAGAATATTGCACTGAGGGAGTTTAACAGGTGTTTAGAGTCTGGATGGCCCATAGGTGTCGTAACAATTATATTTGAAGGGGACATTCCCCGAGCAGCACGGTGGCGCAGTTCGTAGAGCTGCTACCTCTCATCGAGCAGGTTACCCTGGTTCAAATCCCCGTCCCGGGGAGGGCTTTGTAGGGGTGGGCAATATGGCTCAAATATAGTATTGTGATATTTCAGAGCATTCTGATAACGATGAATTTCATGATATAACAAAAAAAAATCAATCAATCAATTTCAGAAATCAAAGCAGTATTATGTATTAAAAAACTGTTAATTTTATGGTCATGAGCTCTATTAAGGATGCCCCCTTCGGGCATGTCCAACTGGGAGGAGACCCTGGGGAAGACCCAGGACACGCTAGAGAGACTATGTCTCTCGATTGGCCTAGGAACACCTTGGAATCCTCCCAGAAGAGCTGGAAGAGGTGGCTGTGGAAAGAGATGTCTGGGCCTCCCTGCTCAAGCTGCTGCCCCCGCGACCCCACTTTGGAATAAGCTGAAGATAATGGATGGATGGATGGATGGATGGATGGATGGATGGATGGATGGATGGAAGTATTCCGTCTCAAAGTATAAAAATAAAAAATAAAAATGATCCTTCTGTTATTTAGATTGAAAAAGTCTGCACAAAATGTAGATCAATAAATCCACCACAACAACTAAAATGCAGGTGCATTTTCCCAAAATAACTAAATGAACTGAAGCGTAAGATCTGTTGAGCATAAATGTAACATAAAACTAAATATATGTTGCGTTTAAATGAGCTATAACTTTCAGAACTTGTGACAGGTGTCCAGCTGACCCTGAAGCTTGTTGGTGTTTCAGCTTCCTCACAGAAATGATTCCATTTCTCTGATGCTTTGTTTCTGATCACCTGACTCTGTTCTTGGTCCATGGACCGACTGTGAACTCAAGAGACGCAGCTGAGCTGCGTGTGTTTGTACTGGCAGTTTAGGGTGCATTCACACCTGATAGTCCGGTAGACTCGGTTCGGTTGGGGACCAGTATTCATGACATTTTGTTTACATTTGAGCTGGTGCGTTTGCATTCACACTGCACTGTGCAGTCGAGTCAACCTGTTGAACCAACCTATTCCCCCGCTCGCCTGTGGGGGCGCTGCACCAAGAACTGCTGAAAGAAACAACACAAAAACCTCTGAAGACATTTTTTCTTCTTCTTCTGGAAATAAAAACAAAAACGGAGTGGCATCAAGTTTTAGGAGTTATATTTAGTCATTTTTCAAAAATGGACTCAGCATGAGCAGAAGATGAGGCAGAAGACCATGGAGAATATTGTTTTTCACACAAGGCAGCTGACGGCTCCATATGAGGTAAGAGAAATGCGTGTTTGTTTGCCCTGCGTTGTACTCCACTTCTTGCTTGTGGAGCGGGGCCCGGTCTGTTCACATTCACACTGTACTCGAACCGCGCTGGAGTTCTCTTTTACCGGACTGAGACCTAGGCTTTAGCCCAGGCCAGAGTTTGCCTTTTCGTTCCGTGACGGAGTTCGATGGCGTGTTCACACCTCCCCAAACGAACCGGACTTTCTAGGAAAACAAGCTAGAGTTCGATTAAAGCGGACTAAACAGGGCTGGTGTGAATGCACCCTTAGAGCTGAGTGGAGAGACCCAGCTGAGCCGCGCCCACACCGGCATCCCAGAGCGGGGTGGGGGGAGAGATAAAAGCTCAGCTATGCGAGTGGGGGGAGGGAGAGACAGCTGAGATACTGTCTGTATCTGCTGTTCAGAACTGGGTGGAGAGACAGCTGAGCCGCGTGTTGTTTATTCGCTTTATAGTATTACTTATTATTATACTTATAATTTCTTATAATTATACTTATAATTTTATATATATATATATATATATATATATATTATATACAATTAT